TATTGGCAGCTGCTGATAATAACATCCATCATTATGGTTTACTAATAGTTATCACTTCACTTCCTCCTCCAGCACCTGGACACAGCAGGAACCTACGCCAGGATCCTGTTTGTGGACTTCAGCTCTGCCTTCAACACCATCATCCCAGCTCTGCTGCAGGACAAGCTCTCCCAGCTGCAGGTGGATCACAGACAGGAAGCAGCACGTGAGGCTGGGGAAACACGTCTCTGACCATCAGCACCAGTACCCCTCAAGGCTGCGTTCTTTCCCCTCTGCTCTTCTCCCTGTACACCAACAGCTGCACCTCCAGTCACCAGTCTGTCAAGCTCCTGAAGTTCAGACGACACCACGCTCATCGGACTCATCTCTGGTGGGGACGAGTCTGCCTACAGGTGGGAGATGGACCATCTGGTGACCAGGGGCCTCATTTATAAAGGGATATACGCTCAAAAAATGGCGTACGCCAGTTTCTACGCAATGTTTGCGATTTATAAAATACTAACTTGACGGGAAAATGTGCTGTCCTCCACGCAAACTCTAACCCATGCGTACGCACTAAGCACACAAACGGGAGAGACGAGAAACTGCGACACCGTTGGCAGAAGGAAGAATGGAGAGAAATATGTGGAAATAATACCATAAATAAAATGTTACCTCTCATTTATCAAATATGAAGAATTCATTTTCAAACATTGATTAAAGCCAATCTTAAAATGATTAAACAAACGCCTGTTTGAGACTCCTCAGTGCTCACAAAAACATAACTTGGAGAAATATATAAATACAGATATGTTATTTAAAACCACCTCGAATATGTTGTGTTACTGTTATGAAATGTTTTCTCATAAATTATGCGGTAAGCAGGAGGACAGAATTACGTCTAAACTGACGCCGTTTTGCATTTCTATAGGTTGTAGATACGAGCATGGTTTTATATACTATCACGTTTAATCGTGTTTTATGCCGTTTGCCAAGACTTGATAAGTCGCTCGTAAAACACAGGAGGTATGGAAACTAAGAACACCATATGTGGTAAATTGTACAGCTAATATAACACAACACAGTTGTATTTCCTTTAACTGGTGGATTATGGATATATAGTTGCTGATCGACAGCTGGAACACAAACCACCAAATACAACAAAATAATTCAGATCCAGTCGTCATGACTCCACTCCGGAGGGATTCCCCGATCATTTCTTACAGTTTCTCATCAAGGGGGTGTCTCCTGTCCCTGGTACAAACACACTGCCTGAGGAAGGTTATGTGTAATTTTTTTGTTATTAACTTTTTTCGGACCACTTATTTATTTATTTTGGTGACGATCCGACCTCCATGCTGCTACTCTGGTTCAAACTGCATCCACCAAACAATATGATTTATCTCCACCTCCCCACAATAACCTAAATCTGACACGGTGTGAGATGTCTTTTTTAGCTGTTCTGTCGTCATTTCCTGCGATCTACTTCATGCAGTCAGTCAAAATGAATGAATGAATGGGCGTTTCTTTGACTATTTATAGGCAAATATGGGCGTTACGTGAAGCCTGCAAAAGCTGCGCCGCATTTCGAGTCGATTGTTATTTATAAAGGGAAACAGGCGTAGGAAGTGCCGGTACGCACTTCCCTCGCCGGTACGCAATGTTTTGTGAATCGGAAAATGTCTGAACATTTCTGTACCTATTTTTTTGCTTTGTACTACGTAAGCAACCTTCTCACGTCAATCCTACGCAAGGCGTTATAAATGAGGCCCCTGGTGTGGGGAAAACCACCTTGAGCTCAACGCTATCAAGACAGTGGAGATGGTTGTGGACTTTAGGAAGAACGCAGCCCCGCCCGCCCCCATCACTCTGTGTGGCTCACCATCACTCTGTGTGACTCCCCATCACTCTGTGTGACTCCCCATCACTCTGTATGACTCCCCATCACTCTGTGTGACTCCCCAGTCACTGCTGTGGAGTCTTTCCACTTCCTGGGCACCATCATCGCCCAGGACCTCAAATGGGAGCAGAACAGCAGCTCCCTCATCAAAAAAGCCCAGCAGAGGATGTTCTTCCTGAGGCAGCTGAAGAAATTCAACCTGCCAAAGACGATGATGGTGAACTTCTACACCTCCATCATGGAGTCCATCCTCACCTCCTCCATCACCATCTGGTACGCTGCAGCCACAGCCAAGGATAAGGGCAGGCTGCAGCGTGTCATCCGCTCTGCAGAGAAGGTGATAGGCTGCAATCTGCCATCCCTCCACGACCTGCATGCCTCCAGGACCCTGAGGCGGGCAGGAAAGATAGTGGCCGATCCCTCCCACCCTGGACACAAACTGTTCACCCCCCTCCCCTCTGGCAGGAGGCTGCGCTCCATCAGGACCAAAACCTCTCTCCATCAGGACCAAAACCTCTCTCCATCAGGACCAGAACCTCTCTCCATCAGGACCAAAACCTCTCTCCATCAGGACCAGAACCTCTCTCCATCAGGACCAGAACCTCTCTCCATCAGGACCAAAACCTCTCTCCATCAGGACCAGAACCTCTCTCCATCAGGACCAAAACCTCTCTCCATCAGGACCAAAACCTCTCTCCATCAGGACCAGAACCTCTCTCCATCAGGACCAGAACCTCTCTCCATCAGGACCAGAACCTCTCTCCATCAGGACCAAAACCTCTCTCCATCAGGACCAAAACCTCTCGCCACCAGGACCAAAACCTCTCGCCACCTCAACAAGGCCCCCCCACTGACACTTTACCTCATCCACAACGCAGACTCTATGCATTACATAATGGAGATCACAGGATGGTAAATAATGCAATGTTTAAATATTGCTTAGTGCACATATTTTATATTCTATAATTTATTGCATTCTATTTCGATGTATATTACTGCTTTATTTTATTGCTATCTTACTATATTTTTATTACAGTGTTCTTAATATAGTTCGCTATCTGTGTACTTTTTTTTATTTAATTTTTTTAATTTATATGTGTATGTACGACACCTAGTCAAATTCCTCATACGTGTGAAAAACCTGTTTCTGATTCTGATCTTTTTGTCCTCTAGGTTGCACTGCCACGTCTACAGTAGCGCAGAATGGACAGAGGAAACATGATTGGGCCTCAAGTTTTTTGCAGCCAATATACATTCTACAAACTTGGGATAGGAGGGTGAGTGAACAAGTTATCCATTGGTTGGAACCTACATCCCCATTGTTAGACTTACTAAATCCTGCACACTGCTCCTTCAAATTGACAATGTGAACATATGTTGCCATTTTGTAATTTCTGTTATTTTCAGTTGAGAATGTTTCAACGTACTCTTAAAAAAATTCAACTTACTTTTTGTTTCTACTGTTTATAAGTATGATGTTTAAATATGAAATGCTGTATTCATTAGTTTTCATATTTTAAGTTTTCAGAGTAATTGTTTCCGACAGAACATTTTGTGATGTCTTTTCATTGAATGTCTTTGATTGGAAAATGTTAGAAAAAAGCTGTAAAATAACAGTATTCTACCTGTAGAACTTTAGGTTCTGTATTTATTTTAGTGTTTGATCATACAAATCTAATAAAAAAAAATGTAAAAAACAGTTTTTCTCATCCGAACTTTATTTAAGGTATTTGAATGTAACATTTTAAGACAATGGATTTTGAAAAGAGAGGAAAGTTTCCTGTAAAATCGTTAAGGACAATTTCTGTATATTAATTGCTTTTGCACTTTATTTGAGTTAAAGTATTTTTACTTTAATTTTATGGTTTTTGTTTGGCAGCCGCTGCTGCCAGTCATTTGACCGTTTTTTTACGTGTTTTTTGCCCGTAGAAGTTTTAGTGCTGTACTTTTATTAAAGGTTATTGACTGTAAAAAGAGAGGATAAATCTGTAAAATTAGAGTATTTGCACGTTAAAGTATTAGTAATGTACTTTTATTAAAGGTTATTGACTGTAAAAAGAGAGGATAAATCTGTAAAATTACAGTGTTTTCCTGTAAAATATTTAAGGACAATTCCCGTAAATTAATGGCTTATTCACTTTATTTCAGTTAAAGTATTTTACTTTAATTTAAGGGTTTTTGTTTGGCAGCCGCTGCTGCCAGTACTTTGACCGTTTTTTTACGAGTTTTTTTTTTACAGTGTAGCAAAACGATTATTTTAATGATTGTTTAGTAAGGAATGTTTATACAACATAAACATTAAAGAAACAAGAATGTTTAGTCTTTACTGTTAATAAAGCTCTAACATGGCTCTAAACAAAGCCACACAACTGGTCTGATGAAACATCCCCGTAAATAAAAACAGATTACACTGAATGAACATTACATGTTGATGTCAGGATAGACGCGTATCAGTGTTTGAAAGAGGAAAATAAAATGTGAATTTCTCTTACCTTCAAAAAGCTGAATGAAAATAAGAATGCATGCCAAGCTCGTCTTCATGGCCTTTTCACTTATGAACTCACTAATAAATACCAAAGCTGACTCACATTGTACTCTTTCCTTCAGTCTTTGTGAGGTTTTGTGGACAGCCTCACTTTATTTATTGTTCTTCACCTCTGAGCAGGAAGGGGAAATCAAAGCAAGAACAGCCGTTGAAACGCTGCAGTTGGTTTTGCACACACTGATGTTTAACTGAATTTGAAATAAAACTCAGGATGTTATGCATCAGACTTTAAAACTTGTATCCACTGGATTAACACCACTAATGTGTACAGTTACACAAACAAACCCTTCTCAAAAAGTTTTTCTCAGTATTTGTTAGCAATATAAACATTGCTCCCCACGATATATAACACTTTTTTATAGTATCCTAGTAAGTCTTCTTATAGCGATCCTGTTATTGATATTATCAAGTGAGAAAAGAAGATATGATAATATCACTTTCATGATGTATCACCGGATATGTCTGGTGTCTGCAAGATGAGTGTGAAAGTGCAGGTCAGGAGGAGAGTCATCAGCAGCAAAGGGGTGGATATATATTAGAAGTTAGTGTCCTGTAAACATGTATGATAGTTAGTGATGACGAGATGAAGCCGAGGCTTCGGAGCGTGTGTCGAGTAATCGCCGAAGCTTTCTGTGAAGCCTGTGTCGAGGCTTGTATCATTTGGGGGCCAGTGACGTCATCGATGACAAACGAAGCCTCGTTTGTCGATACCACGTGACTGCTTCAGGAAGCGATTCAGATCTTGGCGCGAGCTTCTGACAGATAAAAAGCCATGGGATTTGATTCAAGATGTGTGATCCTTGTGAGAGGAAAACACTTGTCGTTTTGCCAGTTTTGGTTGTACGATATTTTTGCTACTTGCAAAGTTAGAATGGAGCCAGCTAAGAAGAGAAAGACTTCCCCTATGTGGGAATACTTTGATCAGATTTCACACAATAAGGTAAGGTTTGCATACATGGTTTATTACAACAATGTATTATGTTAGATTTTGTATGGTTCATTTTTTTACTTTTTCTATTTCATTCAAAGGTGAAGTGTTTATTGTGCTCCAGGGAACTGGGGTACAGTAACAATACTTCATCCATGCTAAGGCATTATCGTGCCATGCATGAGATGAAGGAGGGACATGCAGGTGATGCAGGTGGACCTGCTCAAGGTTTGTCATTTAATATTTTGGAATAATATACTATAATATACTATAATTTAACCATGTTAACTTCACTTTATCATGCAAATAAAAGAAAGTTACAAGATACTCATTCTTAACACAGCTTACCCCCCCCCCCCCAGGTACCAGGCCTACCAGAAAACAGGATCTGGATGAGGCCTTGGTCAACCTGATTGTGAAGGATACACAGCCATTCAGTGTTGTGGAGGATGTGGGATTCAGGGCATTTGTGGCCTTATTGGATCCAAACTATGTCATCCCCAAGCGACAGGTGTGTAAGACTTCATGTATAGAGCAAAATTGTTTATTTTTTCATGGCATTTGACAATTAACCAGTGAATTAACCATCCCCTCTTTTAGGCTGTTAAGGCTATGGTGGAGGCCAAGTATGCTCTAGAAAGGAGCAAGGCCATAGCTGACATGCAGAAGGTGGTTGCAGTGAGCTTGACCTCTGACATGTGGACCTCCATCAATATGGATGCCTATCTGGCTGTAACCTGCCACTTTGTTGACGACAACACACGTCTTAATTCTGTGTTGTTAGGGGTCCAACAATTTTCCCAAACACACACTGCTGAAAACCTGGCCAGAGTGAAAACCTCCCTCATGGAGGAATGGGGAATCACAGACAAGGTCACTTGCCTTGTGACGGATGGTGCAGCCAATATGATCTCCTGTGGCAAACACTTAAAGCTACGTCATGCAATATGCATTGCACATACACTGAATTTGATTGTCAAAAAATCTCTTGACATGACCCCTGTGCTGAGTGATATCCGGGCCAAGTCAAGAAAACTTGTGGGATTTTTCAGGAGCAGCACCCTTGCTAAGGTATGTGCTTTGACCTTTCTTAAATTGGTTAATAATTAATAATAATCATAATGCTATGTTTGTTACTGCTACTTTGACAATTAAATAAATCTTTAATTGTGTGTTAAAGGAGAAGCTTGTATCGGTGCAAAGGCAAATGGGAAGGCCCACACTGAAGCTCCTGCAAGAGGTGGAGACCCGCTGGAACAGCACATATCACATGCTGCAACGTCTGGTGGACCTCAGAGAGCCAGTTGGTGCGGCATTAGCCAGCTTGAACACTGACATCACCACACTGACCTCTGCCGAGTTCACCACCATAAGTGGGTGCCTCTCTCTGCTGTCCGGATTCAATGATGCCACCATTGAGCTGTCTGAGGAGAAAAATGTATCCGGGTCCAAGGTTGTGCCCCTCCTCAAAATGCTGGAGCAAATGCTTCAAGAGGAGATGGCAAAAACTGCAGAAGCAGTGGCAAAAGAAATGGGAGAACACCTATTAAGGCAGCTAAGAGAGAGGCTCCACACACTCCAATCAATGAGCATAATGTCATTGGCAACACTACTGGACCCTAGGTTCAAATTGATCGGGTTTTTTTAGCCCTTCAAAAGCTGCAGAAGCCACAAAAAGGCTTGTGGCTGAATGTGGTGCACTGATCCGAACACCTGAAGATGTGCAGCCAGAAGAAAATCCATCCACATCTCAACCTGAACAAGAAATCCCAGGTAATTTTATTAATTTTAAATCAATTTGAAGTAATTACTACAACATCCACTGACACTCTCTGTGTATACTTTTCAGGAAACAAACTCTGGCAAAAATTGGATCGGACTGTAAAGCTGTCCAGAAAGACCAAGAATCCAACAGCTGACGCAACTGTTGAAGTCCAGCGGTACCTGGCTGAACCAAATATCGGACGCTTGGAGGACCCTCTGAACTACTGGCAGACACAAAGACATGTGTATCCAAACTTATATACACTTGCTGTCACTTTCTTGTGCACACCTGCTTCCTCAGTCCCGTGTGAAAGGGTATTTTCAAAGGCAGGAGAAGTTGTGTCCAAGAAAAGAAATCGCCTAAGCCCGAAAAGTGTGGAAAAAATATTGTTTTTAAACAAAAACCAATAAAATTGTTCCATGTATCACAAGCATTTTCACTGGCCTCTGCAAAGTCACACAAGCACATTCACTGGCCTCTGCAAAGTCACACAAGCACATTCACTGGCCTCTGCAAGTTACACAAGCATATTCACTGCCCTCTGGCAAGTTAAACCCTTGTTCTTTTCCAGTTTTCGAACATATATTGCTTCTTTTGTCTTTATAGAAGGCAGCAGACATTTACATTTATTTATGTATAGATGTAACAACAAGATACTATATTGACACATTGTTTTTATTATTATATACAGTCATTTTAAAACACTTACTGGTGTAAAATTCTGTTCATACAGGATGACAAATACATTTGACATCTTTTACCTTTTTGTATCATTATTTCCAGTATTTTTAGTATGTCAAAGATTACAAATAATATGTGGCTGTTTTACACCTGTTCACCAACAGGGGGTCTTGTGAGCACATGAAGCCCATGATGAAGCTTCATGAGATGAACCTTTTAGCGAACCGATTTGCTGGAAAGCTTCAAAGCTTCATGAGGCTTCATCTCGTCATCACTAATGATAGTTTAAAAACAGTTTAAAAACATAATAAAATGACACCATAGACCACAATAATAATGTGATAGTGTGTACAAATTAAGGATCCAGGGGGATGTCAAAATGCTTCCTGCATGGTTTTCATGAACTGCAACAATAACATTTTATCTCAATCAGCCTCATGTCTTGAGTTCAGAGTGTGCAGCCAATTAAGCTGATGGGTGTCTGATTGGATGCAGGTGTGCTGCTCTGATGAGGATAATGATCGGCTAGAGTTTAAAAAGCTCCACCGCTCACACTGAACCATACTGTGAGTCAGTCAGGAAGACAGAGAGCAGCTGACCAGTTTCCTGTCATCAGTTTCACTTATGGAGGCCTTTCATTTTCAGGTTATCCTCCTTGTAGGACTCTGTGTTAGCTCCTCTTTTGCTTTCCCGCCCACACACGATGCTTCATTCCAGAGCCTTGCGAACACAGGCAGGTCAGAACTCGGGCAGCAGCAGCAGAAGTCTCCGGCTGAGGAACCGCAGCAGGTGAATACCATCAGAGTGACCTGTCATCCAGACTCTTTGGAGATTGTTATCAAAGCCGACATGTTTGCGGTTGGAGTTCCTGTTGATGGAGACGAGATACGCCTTGGAGAAGAGAACAACAACCAGTACTGCAGAGCTACAGCGTCTTCAGCAGATGAGTACAGTATCAGTGTTGGACTTGTGGAGTGCGGCACCAGACACTGGGTAACTTTTAAATATATTTCATTTCAAATATGATTCATTATAGCTTCTAGTTTTAAACACATCTACTCTCCACAGGTAACTGAGGACTCTCTGATCTACACAAACCTCCTCATATACTCTCCTGAGGCTTCTCCATATGGTGTTGTTCGAATGGAGGAGGCTGTAATTCCAATTGAATGTCATTACGAAAGGTCTTTGTCTCTTTTTGTTTTTAAAGCTCACATTGTAAAAATCTTTGAATGATGTCTGTCTTTTTTTTTTAAATGCATGTTTTCTGTTTCTTAGGAAGTACAGTTTGTCCAGTTCTTCACTCATGCCTACCTGGATCCCCTTCATGTCGACCCAGGCTGCAGTGGAAATGTTGGAGTTTAACTTGAGAATCATGACAAGTGGGTTTTGGTAATTTTCTCATGTTATGAGTTGTCATGTCTCTATTTGCACTTAGTACTTTTTTTTCTGTCCGTGTGCAGGTGACTGGCAGTACAAAAGAAGCTCTAATGTGTTTCATCTCGGTGAGCCCATCAGCATCGAGGCCTCGGTCAGACTTGGGCATCACATGGGGCTCCGAGTGTTTGTGAGCAGCTGCGTGGCTACACTGAGCCCTGACATGCACTCCAGCCCCAGGCATGCCTTCATTGAAAATGGGTAAGGCTGCAAATTGCTAAATGGCAAAAAGGAAAGTATTTTTCTGACCCTAGAGGGAGCTGTTTAATGTGTAAGGCTGTTCAAGTGGTTTAATTCAGACACGAGCAATGCTGACTCGAGTGACAGGTTAATAGAAGATCAGTCCTTTAGTGTCGTCTTCAAGTTAGCCATTAGCTAAGGCTAGCTGCAGTTTGCTTTTTAATCTTTGGTATTCTAGTTCTTCCTTTCTGTGCCACTATTGGCAAATGCACATGTCAGATTTGTGCAGTTCTAACTCTAAATAACTACTTCCAGAACTTGCCTATATGACTAGAAATGTTAGTGGTGCATTGTCGGTAATGTAGACTCTGGTTATAGTAGTCAATGAGTGCTAATTTAGTGTTGCTCTTTTTGTTTTTCCTCATACTGTAGGTGCTTTGTTGACTCTCAGCTTCCAGGCTCAAGGTCTCAATTCTTAGCCAGGACACAGGATGACAAGCTCCACATGTCCATTGATGCCTTCAGATTTTATAATGAGGACAGAGGGGAGGTGAGGCTCTATTCAATTGCCTTAAACATGATTGTGTGTGCATGTTTCCCAACACCTGCTTTTCTCATAGCTCTACATCACATGTCACCTGAATGCTGTGGCAATAAATAACGCAGATGCACCAAACAAGGCGTGCACTTTTGTGAATGGAAGGCAAGTGAGATCCAGCCTAAAATATTTCAAATTACACACAAAAAACAAAGTATTGGTGCTGAATGTTTTTTTATTCATCAGATGGCGGTCCGCTGATGGTAATGACTACTTATGTGGGCAATGCAAAAGACCAATTGGAGTTGAGCAAACTCCCAGTAAGCCCAGCAGCCCGAGCAAGTTTAGGCCTCGAGGGTTTGTGAAGCCAGAAGAGCGTGAACCCCTCTGGAGGAGCGGACTGAAGACCAGTCCAGGTGGGGTGCTTGGAGAAACTTGTATGATGAATATTGGCTGCAGATGTCGTCATAATGATCAATTGTTTGTGACGCATGTTTTTGCATAGGTTTTAGACATGATGATGGCTGGGTAACTGAATTAACATGCATTGTGCTGGTTTGTGTTAGTGTGGGAACATCAGGCCAGAGTGGGTCCGATGATGGTCTTGCCAGCCAAGCAGAAAAGCCAGCCCATACCTGCAGAGGAGCGTTCTTCCATTCTTGATCAAATCGGCAGATCTACAATGTATGGCAGCCAGTGGAGGAGTGGAATAAACGGAGTTGGTAAGTCAATACCGGTATTCAATTATTCTCTGTTCATTTGAAGCCTTTAACAATCTCTAAATTGAGATTAAAATGACCCATAATGAAATCTTAATGTTGAATTGTTTTTCTGTCAAAGATCAGAGGAAAGGACTGCTTCCTGATTCATCATCCACCCAAAACCAGGTGGACTTTCTGACTTTAGCTTCTGAGCAGAATGAAGACGAAGAAGACAAAAGTGGAACAGAAAAAGGTAAAATGTGAAAAGTCTTAACCCTTTTTTAAATGGCACTCTACAATGCACCTTTTACATTAACACATTTATTCTGCGACTACAGATGAAGATGCTGAGGAAATTCCTGAACTTCTAGAAGAAACCTCTCCTGAGGCCCAACTGCAGTTGAAGGCAGTAGTGCTGAACAGTACCAACACAGCGGCGCTCGATGAAGTCTTCCAAACTGCTGCGGTTAATGTGGCTGTGCCCCCACTGTCCAACACCACTGCAACAGAATCTGACCTTTCTGAAACAATGGACTCAAAGAGATAATAAATTATTCAAATTTTAATTTGTTTGCTTTTTAATGTTGCAATACACAAGGAAAACTGATGACCTGCTCACAGCTAAAAACAATTAACAATTGTTTCCTAATTAGCCAAAGTATTCCATATAACGGTAAACATTTAGGGGGGACCCAAAATTGCAATTTGACATCCATGTTCCATGTCTTTTCTTGTGCTTGTCTGCTGCTAAAAATGGTACTACAACATGGCATTTATTTTCTGGGGTGTCATTTGCTTTAGTTGCAACAGCTGTATAAAGGTGATTTATTGGAGGTCAGCCAGTTTATATTTGAACTTCAGTTGCTGCAACAAAGCCTTTGTACATGAGTAGCCCCTTTTTTAAAAGGGGAGTTACCATGGGGGCCCTGGCAATATAATGACCTGAACATTAAAATATAAACATGGTCTCATAACTTTGTGTCCAGGCCCATTGGGTTTTTTGACTGGAGACTGAATTCTAATAGAGTACCCAGACCTCTACTAGGGTAGTCAATATGTTTTAGAGGTACAATTTGATGGTTTACAAAGTCCTGAGTTGTTACTTTAGCTTAGCAAATCTATACTGTACACCTGTTTTTGGGGACTGATTTAAAAAAAAAAAAAGGGACAATATGAATTTTTAGATAAGTATAGTTACAGATGGCATTATTTCAAGTCATCTGGGAAAAAAAACTGAAGCAAGGCTTTTACCTCTTAAGCACGACGGTCCCCCCAGTGGACCCCCCCCACCGTTTTTTTTCGAGACTGTGTCAGGGCTTCTTAACATTTATGAAACTAATGTGTAGCACCAGATTAACGGGAAGAATCTCAGCTAACTGAAGATATGAACCATTTTTACCAAAACAAGGGTAATACCAAGCCACTGAATTAGCACTAAGCGGAAAAATGCTAACTCACTTAGCACAGAACTCAAGATAAAGATACCCTTATTACTTATCGTAACTGCACATACAATATCTGATTAAAGCTGAGACTCCACAGATTATATAGGTATAGTATCATCACTAAGCGATCCGAACTCGCGACAGAGGAAGCAAACACAGACATCACAACACGTACCTTTACGGAGCTTTTACGGGAGATCGTCTCACCGTAGCTGTCTATCTGATCAAAGGACGTGTTCAATGGCATTAAAACGAGAAAAAACGCGGCTGAATCGGTTTATCCATAGGTTAATATATCTGTCCCTTTGAAAACATTATTTATAATCCATAATTCAATCTTTATGTAAAAATCGGAGAAAAAAAGTTAGCTGCTAATGGTATGCAGCATCCGGTTTTGGCCACGCGTCACTCTCACTCTTTATTTGTTAATGTGTTGGTGTGTGTAGAACTTTCCCTCGATTCCATTTGCTCTAGCGGTTATAAAGAGATTTAATTAATCAAAATCGACCAAGGGGGGCCATATGGAAAATCCACCCAAATGACCCCAGAAGTGGGTTTCTTTTGCTAAATCTCTCTAAAAAGGTCAAATTTCACTTGTTTTGCATCAATCTTGATATAGGGTACTTATTATATGTTGTACTTCAGATTCCTAAAGCTTTTAGTCTACTAACCCATCATCCAAGGGTAGTTTTCACTATAAGTACAAAATAATTTTTGGACGGACACTATAATTTACAGTTTTTTTACTATGTTCAATCTGAATTTTCTTTAAAATAAAAAACATCTATATTGATTCTGACTTTTCTACATCCAACTCACAGGTTTATCATTACTTTGAGAACAAAGATTATTAATTTAACCAATTTAGAAGGGAAGATATGGTCATTTGTTCTGGGAATGTCATTTTCAAGCCTGAGACCTGAAAAACAGGCTCAGGGTGGAACAGGTTAAAATATTGGCTCAATGCAATGGTAGCCATGACATCACACATTTGTTTTTAGACTAAAAGGCCGTGTGGAAGATGAAACTTCCTGGGATGTTTTTTGGTCCCTGCAACAAAGTGCCTGTTGGGACTCAAAGCCAGGAACCAGTGAAGCTGTAAATGTGGATACAGTGGACTGGAACTGAATCGTACTCATATACCACATTAAAACCTACATGCACAAAATAAACTGAATGATGTTGAATAAAATGGGGCTGTATTTTAAATTGCTCTCCATTAACTGTAGTATATATTTCAACATTGATTGATGCATAAGGAAGGAAGCATCAGTGTAACTACTAGATGTAAACCCACATGTCAGGTGTGGGCCAATCACATGCAGGTATTTCGGTGTGACTGCAGCTTTAATTCTCATCAGTTAATGAGTAATTGCTTCCAGCTGTCCTCTCCATGTGATTAGTCTGCACTGGGAAGTATTTGACATTGAGAGTTTGAACCTTCTGCATCTTATTTAAATTCAGTATGGTTCAGATTTCCTAAATGATCACTTGTTTTACTGGTAGTGTTGTGTTTGCTTACTTTGCTTTCCTGTTCTGTTCTGATAAAAGAGCACAATGGTGACGGCAGCTCGGCCAGCCTCTGTGGCACTGCTGACACTTTTTGCTTTTGGTTTTGCAGACGCCATTCGAACTTTGAGAGATGGACCAATGATCGATGCTGAAGGAAGGGAATATAAAACTGCTGCATTAGGGTTTGACAGAGAAAGTCAAATCAGTGAACCACAATTCAATGAGGGATCCACTATCAGTGTACAATGCACAGAAGTGTCCATAATCATTGCGGTAAAGGCTGACTTCTTTAAAAATGGACGCCTTTTGTCTCCATGGGATTTTCTTTTGGGAGAAGTCAAGCATTCACAGAGCAGTCAGTGTCGACCTGTTGCTGCTGGTGACTCTGAATATGTATTTGAAGCTGGACTACAAGACTGTGGCTCCAAAGTGACTGTAAGTTGTTGATGATTAATAGAAGATGGTGGATATGTAACTGTGGTTGCTTAAAGGTTGGGTCGGTAATTTTGGAGAAACCAGCTCGAGTGCGCTAGAATTTGAAAATACACATTCCATGGAATATAACAAAAAGTGTATCTCGAGCAGGTTTCTAAAACTTACCTACCCCACCTTTAAGTGGTAGTTTTGATTTGTTGTGTTTTCAGAAGTGTCCCTGATTTTAGTTATTTTGTATTCTCTAGACATCTAAGGACTCTGTGATCTACTCAAACAAGCTGATAATCTTACTAGCTGCCGGGCAACATGGCATTAAAAGAACGACCCATGCTGTTATTCCTGTTTCCTGTCACTATAAGAGGTGAGATGTTTTTATTGTGTTGTGCAGAGAATCTTTTTTGTGACTTCTTCTTCTCGACTGACTTTGTTACCTTTCCGGGACAGGACAAAGTTTGATGGCAGTCACTCTCAGCAGCCGCCCCTCTCTCTTCCTGCTGTGTATTCAACAGGTGCTTTCTCTCTAAAGCTGATGACCGGTATGTGAGACCTATTCAGTGTTTCATTGAAGGTTTTTTTTAAGGGTGTATGTAGTATGTGGTGGATGAAGTAGTCACACACTTTACCTCAAGGACCAGTGTGTAGGATATAGTGGCATCTAGCAGTGATGTCGCAGATTTTAATTTCCAGGCATGTTGGAGAACTGGAGTTTTTTTTAAATATATAATTTATGTATCTTTTTAAAGGAAGCGCCCACTAAAGACAATGTGTACATTAATTCCTTGCGTTGCATTCTCAAATAAAACATAAACAGTGTAGTATTTTTTTTTTTAGTAGACTACACTACTGGATAAATGGGTCTTTGATTTTCCTGCACAAGTTTTGTAAGACATTGTCAATGGATGTTTTGCTTTTCTTAAATGCGACCACCATTTTAATTAGAAAAAAACCCACCGGTCATTGTTTAATACAAAATGAACATTTATATGTGAAGTATTCCTTATTTATAAGTTAGAGCATTTTTTCAACCAATAAAGAAACACTCAATCACAGTTTCAAAACTCATTACAGAATCACCAAATTCAAAGTTACATGGTTAAATATAATTGATTATACATTTAAATCTACCTAACTTTATGAGTTAAGTCAGGCAATTTTTTGGGGAAAACAATATATAACTGAGTATAAGCAGAAACACAGAAATATGTTGACTTCAATTACGGTAAGTGACGCTTGTGTTTAATTGTAGAGGACTGGACAGGGGAGACGCTCACCAGTGTCTTCTACACCGGAGACCTCCTGTACCTCGAGGCCTCTTACAGCAGTCCTGATGCGGGACGCCTGTTTATCGACGGCTGTGTCGCCGCTCTGTCTCCTGACCCGAGATCAGCCCCCAGATACTACTTTATCCAAAACCATGGGTAAGAGAAGCTCAGAATACAGTATGATACTGATAATTGGCTCTTAAATTGCATTCAAATTTTAATTTTCTTTTCGTCAGGTGCTTCAATGATGCCAAAGAGGAAGGATCAAATGCACTTTTCAATCCCAGAACAAGATCTTCTTCTCTTCAGCTGCAGCTCGATGCCTTCCTGTTTCCCCAGGACACAAGGAACTCAGTGAGCCACTTCTATAACCTGAATGATTTTGTCATGTTTGGAAATGCTTCGAGGTTGTATAATGACATTGGTCTCTCCTTATATTAGATTTTTATCACTTGCCAGCTGAAAGCGACCTCTGAAATGCGGAAGAGCAGCCCCGTCAACAAGGCCTGCAATTATATAAATTCAAGGTGCTTTTATTACTTATTTTGTGAATTGTTGCTCCTTACTTTAATATTGCAAAAGGTTTGTCAGTGTATCATTTACAAAGGCTCATCAGGTTAACAATTCTTTATAAGCTAAAACTGGTTCAAATGTTTGCTATTAATATTTCTTGCTGCTTAAGTAATCAAGTTACTTAATTAAGGAAACATATATTTGCAATGAGGTCTAACGTTTACTGTAAATATAAGGATAAATACTTTCTAAAATGAATGTTCCATGCTGTCTCTGTACAGCCAGATCAATGTAACAGTGATGCTTACCTCAGCATTTGAACTGAAACAGTACACATGTGAGAGGAATGTGCTAAATGTAAGCTTTAAGAATATTTTAGAATGTTGACGCTGCCCATGGAGTATATGTATACAAATAAATGGCTATTATTTCAACATTGGATTTGGGTGTAAATGCCCTCAACTCAAAGCTAAAGGAAAACAATGATTAATTCTGTATACTAATCATCAGATGGATAAATGTCGATGGCAGTGATGATGTGTGTCGATGTTGCGACGATACATGCTCCAGCTACTCTCCCACCGGTCAAACAAACCTCGAAAGTCTGATCCCTGAAGGTAAACTGTAAATCCTACAGTTGTATAACTTTCATAATCTGTGATCTGTCTGTGAAAACTGTCCCAACTAAATATGATTTGTCTCTCTCTTTCATTTTTATTCCCGTTTCAGATTTGGTGGCACGTGAAACTGTTACTCTGGGCCCTTTGATGGTTTTGCCATACAAGTAGGCGAAGCATAACAATCCAGACAATAAAGGATTCAATATTTGTCTATCAATCTCACCCTCCCTGACCAAACTTCAGCGTAATACTGTATAGCTTAATACTAGCAAAACGATTATTTTAATGATTGTTTAGTAAGGAATGTTTATACAACATAAACATTAAAGAAACAAGAATGTTTAGTCTTTACTGTTAATACCTAACATGGCTCTAAACAAAGCCACACAACTGGTCTGATGAAACATCCCCGTAAATAAAAACAGATTACACTGAATGAACATTAAATGTTGCTGTCAGGATAGACGCATATCAGTGTTTGAAAGAGGAAAATAAAATGTGAATTTCTCTTACCTTCAAAAAGCTGAATGAAAATAAGAATGCATGCCAAGCTCGTCTTCATGGCCTTTTCACTTATGAACTCACTAATAAATACTAAAGCTGACTCACATTGTACTCTTTCCTTCAGTCTTTGTGAGGTTTTGTGGACAGCCTCACTTTATTTATTGTTCTTCACCTCTGAGCAGGAAGGGGAAATCAAAGCAAGAACAGCCGTTGAAACGCTGCAGTTGGTTTTGCACACACTGATGTTTAACTGAATTTGAAATAAAACTCAGGATGTTATGCATCAGACTTTAAAACTTGTATCCACTGGATTAACACCACTAATGTGTACAGTTACACAAACAAACCCTTCTCAAAAAGTTTTTCTCAGTATTTCTTAGCAATATAAACATTGCTCCCCATGAAGTACTTTATATATAACACTTTTTTATAGTATCCAAGTCTTCTTATAGCGATCCTGTTATTGATATTATCAAGTGAGAAAAGAAGATATATCACTTTCATGATGTATCACCGGATATGTCTGGTGTCTATGGGCTCAGAACAGTCTCATAATACACACATGCACACAGAAGGATTTACACTTGTATTTCATGATCCGCAAAAGGATTCACACTTGTATTTCCGGATTCACACTTGTGTTTGTCAATGCACACACAAATATGTGTTCCGTTTCATATACATCCAAACACAGAAAAAGTTTTACATATGTATTTTTGATCCTCACATATTTGTTTTCCATTTAAAACCGCTGCACCTACAAACACAAACCGCTTTCTGTGCATGGATCGCTGTGCATTCGTGTGTGGGTTTTTTGAGACTCCCCTGACGGTCACCCGATTCGTACTTGTAATTTTTTCTATCTATAGCCAATCAGATGTCTCCTCAATTCTAAGCCAATCACATGAGCGCGCCCCCACGAGGGTAGATTTCTTGCGTTCATGACGTAGCGCTTCATGTACGCATTTTGCGCTGTCCGGAGCAGGGTTTCCGCCGACAGAATTTATTTTACCGGACAAATTTGAAACTTACCGGTCATGTTTCAATAATAATAAGAAGAAGAAGAATTGTGTAGCAGAGTTTCCGTTAGCAGGTAATTACCGGACTATGACCGGATATGGCTAATAACACGGGAGTAAGGATCATCTATTTTCCTCTCTCCCTCCCTCTCTCCTGACAGCTGGTCAGTTTCTCATGCAGCTCGCTAAAACTTCACTCGCGTTTATGTCCATATCGATCAGATCCAGCTCTCCTGATCGGCCTTTATAGAGAGCACCGATCAAACTATTAAGAGTGAATATCGGCCGATAATGACCGGCGGGGCTCCCCCCGTTGACAGTTCACTGTCTAGCACTGGCTTCGTAGTGCACTGATCGATTAGGCTACAAGCTAACCTGTAGCTGCTCCCTCCACACTCACAACAACTTCATACAGACTTAAATAAAGCAGCTGTATTCGCCATACAGGAAACATACATTTAAAACGGTTTTGCCTGCCGTTTTTATGTACACAAGCATTCATTAATGGTTCGGAAAGTGGCACTGTACCTTAATAATATAAAGGCTTGTATTTGCGTGCATTTCCTGCTCGGAAAGTGGCAATGTACTGAGAGTGGAGGTGTCCTGAGATTAGCGCCTGCAGGCAGGCTCCATGGACCTGTCAGCTCCGGACAGCGCAAAATGCGTACATGAAGCGCTACGTCATGAACGCAAGAAATCTACCCTCGTGGGGGCGCGCTCATGTGATTGGCTTAGAATTGAGGAGACATCTGATTGGCTATAGATAGAAAAAATGACAAGTACGAATCGGGTGACCGTCAGGGGAGTCTCAAAAAACCCACACACGAATGCACAGCGATCCATGCACAGAAAGCGGTTTGTGTTTGTAGGTGCAGAGGTTTTAAAAGGAAAACAAATATGTGAGGATCAAAAATACATATGTAAAACTTTTTTCTGTATTTGCATTTTATTTACATGTATATGAAACGGAACACATTTGTGTGTGCATTGACAAACACAAGTGTGGATCCGGAAATACAAGTGTGAATCCTTTTGCGGATCATGAAATACAAGTGTGAATCCTTCTGTGTGCATGTGTGTATTATGAGACTGTTCTGAGCCCATAGGTGTCTGCAAGATGAGTGTGAAAGTGCAGGTCAGGAGGAGAGTCATCAGCAGCAAAGGTGTGGATATATATTAGTTATTGTCCTGTAAGCATGTACGCCGGCACAGTCCGATTCAGAAGCTCTCATAAATAATAAATATATATTTTTATTTTTAAAAAAGTGCTATTCACATACAAGACAATACAATGTGTCCAAATATAAAGGAGATAATAATAGGAAAGAGTGAAAGGGTCAATAACCCTTGATAAGAATGGGTTCGCCCGATATGTCAGTGGTTAGAGCCGGCAGCCCATATGCAGTCACCGCTGCCTAGTAAACCAGTTTTAATCCTGAACCAGCCGAACATTTCTGGCATGTCCTCCCCTCTGTCTCCCCCTTTCAACTCTAACATCTCCAATAACGGCCCTCTGGACCAAAAATAACTAAAAAGTATGAACAGGAAAAACAAAATGGATCAATCTAAAATAACATAAAATATTTAGGCAACAGTACAGGGTGAACCTCTGAAATGGATAATTAAGAATATAGTTTTGAACTTTATATGTTGTAAGTCATTTTAAATTAGTTGGGATGATTTTAAGTATTTGGAGGTTTTTTCAATATTTTCTTTGTTTGAACTGCATGGATTGATTTTTACATGACATGTCTTATGTTTCAAAAATATAGATCAAATTGTATTTATGTAGCTCAAAATCACAAGTTTTACATTTTTATTTGATTTGATTTGATTTAGTCTGTACCAGTGACGTGCGGTGAGGTTCATGGCTGGTGAGGCACTGACTCACTGAGTCAGATTTATAAATATTATATTTTGACCTTAATCGAAATATTCTGTTATTTTCAAAAGCTTTTTTAGTCTGATGCTTCGATTCATTTTAAACAGACCGTTCAACAAAAGGATACCCAAAATCTAAATATTGGATTGTTCTTTCTTAGTAAGATCCCATTTTCATTACAAATGTGGTCTTACCTTGACTTGAAGATGAAGTCCATGCTATCCTTCTGGACAACAATCTCTATTACTTTTTTGTAAAAGTCCTCCTTATCTTCCTGTAGTTTCAAAAGTCTAGTTTGTTGTTACGTCTACCGTCTCTGCGTAGAATTACAGTAGCAACAAGAACCTGTGGGCTCACGTGCGCCCCCTTCAGTGCGGCAGAGGTTATGGCTGCCTCCCCTGGTGCATTTTCATTGCCGTTGAGACCAGCGAGCCTAAATATCATATATACGTGAAATAAGTTATTTAGAGACTATGGATGGCGAGGATAAATGTAATAAAGGGATCTACATACATTACATTGGTGACCTACAGTGAGATGGTAACAGGCATGTGCTTAGGGCCCGCTTTCCAGCCAGTTTCTGTGGGGTGACGCATTCTGAGGTGAGGCAGATCTCATCTGTGCCTCACCTCACCCCACAGTAACTGGCTTGAGCGCGCTCACAAAATAAGTGCCCGCGCTAAATTAGTGCCCGCGCTCCAGCAAGTTACTGTGGGCTTACGAGAGGCAGAGCACGTGCCTGCCTCACTTGTCATCGCTCCCGTAGCGGAGCTCGGCAAATTTGCTGATTTTGACTATAAAAAGCGATTAGAATCATACATAAATCACACTTACAACACAGATCAGTGGAGACATTTTATTATTATTACTATTTCGTTTTTCTTTAGTTGTTTTTCCGTTACATTGGAGTATGACAGGTGAGGCTCTGCCTCCCCTGCCTCCACTGACTGCACGTCGCTGAAACACACTAATGCTCGGATAATAGTGTTGATATAATACAGAATTTCTCTAAGACAGCTTCTGCAACAGCCACACATTGATTCAGTGGAAGCAGATAACGCAGCAGCAGGTTATTTAGTGTTCATATCAGCTCACCTTTAAGCAGCTGAACACCTGACTCAGTCTCTGGTGAGTCAGAAAAGTCCGAAAAGTCCGAAAATCAAAAACAAGCCAGTGAATCGCTATTAAATATTTGAAACGCTCTGACTTTGGTTTACATTTTTCCATAACATTAAGGAGAAGATTATATATTCCTCATGAATTATTGCTTCCTTTCAACTCAAAACAATCTGACAAAACAAGATCGAGCCGCTAATTATTTTGTCTTTGGTCTGTCACTCTGTGATTAAGCACACCTTTCATCTCTCTCTGTTGACAGCTCATTATCTTCTCGGGCTCTTTAGCTGGAAAACAACTTCTCAGCAGCACATCCTTTCATCCAGACTCTGTCAGGTTTCGGGGTGTAATAAGATTCTACTTTCAGTTCATAAAATAAAAAAATGTCAGCAGTAATGAAGCCTGAAAGTCATTCTCATTTTGGACCAGAGATGCGCTCAGTGGCGGCCGGTGGTCTTTTTTTTTGGTGGGGCTCTTGACGTACCGTAAGTGACCTAACCGGGGGGTCCTGGGGGTTTCCCCCCGGAATTTTTTTTCGAGAAATGACCCCTTAAATGATGACTTCTGGTGATGTTAGAGGGGGGGGGAAAGGAGAAATCGAGGCTTAAAAATATGAGAAGACTGATCAATACCTCCATAATCTTCAGTGTGGAAAATATTATTTATCAACCTGAACATCTACTACTTTACCAGGAATTTGTGTTCTCAGAACTAGTCTGTTTTTTTCTTTCTTAAAACTGTTCATGTTTTATGAACCAACACCTTCACCAAGTAGCTTTACAGTGAACTGCATGTGAGATATAAAATTAATAGCATCTTTACAGTAGCATTAATTATAAATATTTAAGTGGTTCAATACAAGTCACTACAGCATTTCAAACTGAACTGTGAATAAATGCAATTTAAAAAAAATAACCACAGCACAAAATGTCATAAATTGTGTTTTTTTCTTTGTTTCTCTGAGGATTATTTACAAACAGGCTTATTTACATATAGCAATAACTCAGAAATGAAAAAGCTACATCGTCTAACACGAACAACCACTTAGCATAATGATAATATATGTGTTATGTACAATGTAACTGGCAAGGCTAGAGCAAGAAAGAACATAAAGTTTGCAAAAGGTTTAAATAACTTCAAGTATCTGTCTTCAGATTACGTGGAGGTTTTAGTCCGATGGGAAGCAGATTTTAAGCGACACCGAAGATAAACCAAAAATGTGGTGGAGCTGCAAACCGTGTAGTGTTGCTGGGACAGAACAGGAGCTATAACCGTTGGAAAATACATCACAGACAATGCAACAAACGTGGAGACAGAACAATCACTTCTGTGATAAATGCCCACTTATTAATAAACTTCTAACAACCATGGGAAACCTCCTCTCTACATATAAAGTGATATCCAAGCATGGGAAACAAAAGACAGCATTTACCTGTTTGCATCCAGCTAGCCAAGCCTTTTTTGTGTACCAGCTACTTGCGAAGCCTCGTGTATACGTTTTGTCTTTTTCACGAGATTGCTGCGATATATTCAAATCGGGTTGGTCCGGTCCAAGGTCTTTAAGCAACAATTTATCTGCCAAACTTCTCCTTTCGAAAGGATTGGAGATTAGCTCTTGAACAGAATTAGGCGGGGACCGAGGTCCGGAGACTCCACCTGCACACGAAGCCATCCTCATCAACTACTGCGTCAACCGGATACGAGTCACTGTCCAAACTACTCACAGACTGCACTGGGCGCTGACATTGGCGCCCGGTGACCGTCATCTTTGACGACGCTGATTGGCTGAAATTATATTTTCGCGGCATAGTTTACACGTTACAGATAGCAACAGTCAGCTGCTAGTGGCTGCTGCTGCACTGGTTGAAGGCTCCTCTCTTAGCGCCCAGACGAGAGAAGGTGCATGGGCAAGGCCAGGCAGGAAACATGTGACTTATCAGTAACTTTAGACATCGTAACACAATTTTAAACGAGATTTTATTGTAGATTATACATTTTACTGATACCAATTATATAATATTTACCTTGTTCATTAAAAATAAAAATAAAAATATATATATTTTTTTAAACATTTTTTTTTTTTTTAATTTTAATTTTATTTATTTATTTATTTTTTTTTTTTCAATATGGGAAGAGGTGGGGCGGCGCCCCTAGCGCCCCTATGGACCGGCCGCCACTGGATGCGCTCATTTAAATTCTCTCAATCTGGTCCCACAAATTGCTCAATTTTGTTTCTACCAATATTTGCTCAGGACATATTAGTTCATATTGACTGGGGTCCAGGGCAAAGCTGCCTCATTTGTTATTGCAATATGCCAGCACCACATAATACCAACAGTCTTTTAAATGTAGTATTGGTTTCCTCCGTTCTGAAACTCAGTTTGCTGCTGCCAGGAAACACTGTTTAATCCAGATCCAGCAAAGAGCAATACATGTCCTTTCAAAAATCCTAACTCTTACAAATCTTGCATGGTTTTGGCACTGTTTCTTATTTTACCTGCTTGTTTTTCTTTTTAAAATTACTATCCCAGATTTCTTAAATATAAATAAATCAAAACAGAGGTGACCTATTGATTGGGATGCAGGTCAATAATCTTACTTTAAAAAATAAAAAGAGGTCATTTTCAGGATCACAATCTGTGCCAGAGGCCAGTGTAGGAGGGGAATTATGTATACCTCCTTCTGGACCAATAGGGGGATACATTACTTAATATGAATGAAGCTACAGTACGGGTCAAAAGTCTTCCAGTCCTGACACAATCTGAGAAACTGCTGCAAGACATTTTGTACCGAATGAACTGAAAGTGAAGCCCCCCCCAAACCTCTCCATCTTTAACACGTCCACACTCCATCTTGTTTCCCTCTTTGAGTATTCAGTTTTCATGCTGGAAATGACACTGACGAAAAATCTGCTATAACTTATATTTATATTGAAGGTAAAAGATATTGCTTTATATATATTGTAATTGGTTTCATAGTAGAAGCTTATGTAGGATATGGACTTACAGTGTGACCATTATGAAGCAAATATCCCTTTTAAAATGAATGGCATGATACTATATTAACTTAATACATTCTTTAAAAGTAATAATCTTTGTCAGAATTGAGTAGTTTTTACTTATTCCGCCCATTAAAAGGGATATTTCATTTCTTCAATTAAATTCATTATCTGATATTTCTTCATAACTAAAGCAGAGGTTACATGATATAAAACTTTGGAAGTGTTAAAACACTAAATGAAAAAAGGAATCCTTAATATATGTGTGTTTTATAGTTTGAAATGTTAAATTATGTAATCCCTCTGCATGAAGCTTGCAGTGTCTTGGTAAAAAGTTCCTAAAGATCCGGGCCATGTCCTGATTCCTGGAAGTGTTCCCTTTCCCTAAAGCAAACCCTGGAGCAGGAAGTATTTCAAAGTGGCAGTGAATGTTTGATCAGTACTCCATCAGTCCGTTTGAATTACCTCTTTAGTTGGAATGAAGAGCAGAAACCTTTTGAGACGTACTGATCTGGAATCTGGCTTGTTACTCAAACGACAGCAGGTCTGGGTGGGGCTCCAGGTCTTCAGCCTCTTTACTGCAGGGGGCGCCGTTCCCCAGCAGGATGTCTTCGCCCAGGCTGATGCGGCAGGAGGTCTTCCCCGTAGGGGTGGAGGCCAGACGGGACTCGGGCCCCGACGCTTTCTGCCAGACGTCGCAGGGCTTGGCTCTGGGCTCCACCATCGGGGGGTCTTTGTTGATGAGGTCCGGCACAGAGAGCTGGGGCTGATGTTCCTCCTCGCCTCCGTCACTGCTCCCGTTCTCCACCTCGTTTTCTCCTCCACCTGTGACTCCATGGACTTTTCCGTTGCTCCCCGTCTTCTCCCAGCGATCAGCATTCTTCTCTGCGGGGCCCAGGGGGGTCTCCTCTGACCCCTCGTCCTCCTTTTGCTCCTCACTGCTCCTCGGCTCCTCTGGGCCGATGAGGGGCGACTTCTCGGGAGAGGAGAGGAAGGAGGAAGAGTCAGCGGGGTCCGGGGAGGAGACCACGGGGTCAGAGGAGATCATCATGTCCTGGGTGGTCTTCAGAGCCCGGGGCAGACGCTTCTTCCCCGTCGGGGGTGGTGGGTCCAGCCGGGGGAAGGAGTCGAAGGAAGAGATGTGACTGGGGGAGAGAATTGATACAGAGATATTAACAGACAGTAAAAAACATTATTGAGCATCAAAGTGATCCAGAGAAGCAAGGGGCCAGTTGAATAAAGCCTAAGTGGGATTTGACTCAGATGACCTGGGCTCGAGACAGACAAAGTCACACATTTGAAGACTTTAGACTTGGTTTGAGAAAAATCATAAAAGACCATGCAACTGAACTTGGACTTCTAATGGCTCGACTACACTTGGCCTTTTTGAAAAATATTTGATTACTTCCACCAAGATAATTTCTACCAAGATAACTTCTACCAAGCCCAAATATGAAAAATCTAACTTAACTTAAGGCTTGGGATCGGACTTTGAAAATGTTTTGCTAGTCATGTTGATTATTTTCTTAATTTCATTCAGAATGTGTGTCTGGTCTGCAGTGTAGTCGTATTTTTGAGCATGTAATTAACATCCTCAAGAAGAAATGATGGGATGAATGAGGTCATGCTGTAAAGATGCTCTTACATGTTCTGGGCTTGAAAACGCCACATATTTATTTCCACGCATTCTGGTTTTAAATCTGTTTTTAAATCCTTTTAAAACAGATTTACCCACCCAGTAAAAATTCAATGTATTTAAAGAGCTGCTCAAAAATCACTTCTACTCGAATTATTTTTATTAGGAGAGACAAAAGAAAAATACTTCTGGAACAAATCCTTAAATATGATATGCAAAACAACCTGGATGAGTGTGTGCATGTGAGCAGGGAATGAATACACAGTTAAAGGCATTACCATTTTGACCGAGTAAGAAGCTGAATACTTCAGAGTTATTGAACTTCAGACGTCTCACAGGTGCCTTTGTTGTCATTATTCATTCTATAACCCCATTTCAGTGGAAACATAATAAATCCTTTGCCTTTCCTGCCTTATTTACAGTTATAGACTCTTCTGTCAGTAAAGGGTCATTTCATATTTTAACAGAAAATATGTCTTTCAGTGGTTTAATCAAAATAATTGAATGCATAGCCTTGGAAGCTTTTGTGACTTTTTTTACAAATGTATCCACAAAAAGAAATACATACAGTACAATAGGAGCAACAAATTACCTTTTATAAGGTCTAATAAAAAATAAAACTGTCTTAACGAGTCTGTAAACTACTTTGTGATTGTCTTCAAGATTAAAGTTTAAATTAAGTTTGAGAAGTTTAATCTGACCAACAATAAGTACTTTCCTCCACACCAATATAAAGGAGAAATATGTGTGTGTGTTTACCTGTTTGCAGTGGTCTGATTGAGTTGCTCCATACAGCTCCACACCACATCAACGTTCTTGTTGACCTCTGTGACCCCAATGTCCCCTAGGTGGCTGGACTCCTTTCTTCTTAACAAGTCATTGACCTGAGAGAAAGAAAGAAAAGGAAGGGCCAAAGATTGACAAACAGACAGAACAAAGACAGAGAGGAAGAAGAAAGAAAGTCAGAAAAGACAAAAAGTACTCAAATGAACTCCACTGGTACAGCAATAAAGACATTACATGTACTCTATGACCCAAATATCAAGCGTTTAAAGAATACATGAGGTGTAAAGAAGTGAATCCTTGGGCTGAGCTCACCTTTGCCCCGACAGCCTTGCCCAGGTTAATGGCATTCTTAAGCCTCTGCTGTCCTCCGGAGGAAGGAGAGTCGACAGAGCTGGACCCCAGGTTGTGGCTAGCTGATGCTGGGGGGCGGCGGGCCGAGGGGGGGCCGGGCCTGGACGTCTGAGGACTCTGCTGCTGGGCAACGGAGTTCTCAAACATACTTTGGTCAACTGGAAGGAGAGAAGGAAGACGGATAGATTAATTCCCAGCAGGAGTTAAGAGATGATGTGTATCTGCATTAACAGCACATGCTGCAGACCCTCAAGCACTTGACAATACAAATGGGATGTTTGCTTTGAAATTGAGATAACAAACTCAGTTCTTGAAGGGCAGTGAGAGAAACACTCCACTGAAAATGCAGATGATTGGTCACTTTTCAAAATGTTAAAAGTCACCCCTTGAAACTAGAGGGGCTCAAGTACTTGATGTGCAAGTGGTACAATTTTGGTGGAGTATTCCAGGGACCACCTCATGTTACTCTGTTGTCACTGTGCAGCTTTGCACCAAATAAACTGACGTTGCATCATCACAGCAGTTTCAAGGACATTTCGTGAGAAGACATGAAACATAGGAGGGCCACACAGTAACAAGGTATGTAATGATCAAAGACAAATATTTAAAAATAAATAAAGAAAACTGCAATGACATGCACAAAAAAATACAACAAATGAAAAGGAAGTGGACCAAAATGCAGGATCAGGAACATAAAAGGTGAACTCAGGTGGTTTTCATTCCACTTCAGACAGATGATCTTACCTCATGGAGAGAAACGTTTCTCGGAAAGCATTTAATGAAACATAGAATTATCAGATTTGAGAACAATCTACTCTTAAAGATGCATATTATTGAGCTTTTACTGCTTAACATGCTGCTGATTCATGTCTTCTACAAGAGGACAAGTCAGGAGAGCTAATAGGTAGGAGTGCAGCCTTGGCTTGCTTACACCTATCTGAAAGGGACATTGTCTTGGACAGATAAATGGAGAGAAAATATCCCCATTTGGAATCAGATAGAGCGTCAAACTCGGGCGGAACAGCTAACCTTGACTTCACTTTGCACACTCAAGCATTTTACTACACTTACTGTACCAATCAAGAGATCTACCAAAGCACATTAGCCAGGGGCCAGAGAAAATGTGAACTGATATTATGAATCAGCGCGATACAGAGGGCATTCAGGGTAACATCAAAGACACACAGAGAGAGAAGAAGAAGAACAGATAGCAAAATAAACATTTCCTTCACAGCATGCATGCAGTTATAAGTTATAAGAGTCATCAAAGCAATTGGAACAGCAAAGAGCTGCAAGGTGTAACATAGTGGATCTTGCAATTCATTTCATTATACTGTATAGTAGATTGTGTTCTGATATCTGTTTGCATTTGTGATTGTGTCTTATAATGCCCTCCCACTACCTCAATGCAGCAGCTTATTTTTAGCAGTACTTACCATCCCCTAGGTTGAAATATTTGCCTGCCTTATATCTCCTATTTTCCGTCTATTACTATTAAATATGGGGCTATGTGTGCACTTTGTTGTGATCTAGATGGGCATTAGCAATTGATGGATGAATGTTTTTCTTTATTGTTGTTTTGCTGTGATTTAAAATGGCAGACACTGTGATGTTCAAGGCAAATTTCCCACTGTGATAATAAAGTCTATCTTACACTGATGTATGCATAAACATGACCTTAGTGCAATTTGAATACTGGGAAGTAGAACTGCATTTTACAAATGCCAACTGCATTATTGTGGAGGTAAGAATAATACATCCATTAGTTGGACGTCAAAATACTGCATAAAAGGTTACAAATATAATAGGGTAGCTATAGGAGTGGAAAATGGAAATGAATATGAAATCCTCTTTAATCATCAAAGCATGGGAATATACGCAGCACCGACCAACAGAAAAGTTTAGATTTTGCGATCTGGCACCTTGCTCAAGGGCACCTCGGCAAAGAGAGGAAATGGCACCTTTCAAATACACTGAACAACTAGCAAACGTAGGTTGGCATATTAGCTGGCAAGCTAACTGTGTTGATTAGATAGATACACACTCCTACCACAACTACTACTAACGAATCTAAAACAACTAAGTTTCTCTAATATTTTGTGATTTGCATTTGATTTCGTCCAGCCAGATGTGTCCGCGTATCTGGCGGACAACACACACGGGATGACCCACTCTGATGCCTCGTCCTAAAAAGCCCCGGCAGCCGCTTACAAAGCTGCGACAGGCAAGATGCCGAAAACGCCTATAAGGGGAGGAATGGATGATATACAGTGTTTATATGTATATTTACGCATGTTCATTTTGTACATTTCTAAAAATAAAGTTTGATGGAAATACTTAGTAGGCCTATCCTTTCTTCCCTGAATTATTTGCTCCTATAACATATCATTCATATGTGATTCTATAATTTAGGGTGCATTTCACATCAACAAAACAGTACAAAGAAAGTGTTCTTTCTCAATAGAACAATCAGTGGTTCAAGTTAGTATATTCCTCAGTGTAACATATCCACTGGTTGCAAAGCTTAAACATTTTTTTATTTTATTTTATATAAATGTAATAACTGTTACTACAGTTATTACAGTACTGGGTAACTTAGTTGACAGGTAACCTAGTTGACAATTTCCCTATTTTGACCCATCATTTCAATGGTAGGCCTTGCTTGGATGACCACATGTCATTTTCTTGAACAGGTTAACATCACATTTGAACATATAATTGAATTAAAATCATTAAACAATTGTAAACCATAACAATGTACGTAACATTGTTGATGGTCAATGAATATACTCATTGACAATGTGCTATTATACATAAAATATTGTAAAAAATTAGAGGACAATCACCACAGTGTGTTCAAAATGTCTGCCAAAGAGGAACATGGCATCATGTGATGCTGGTGACATGGTATTGGGACAAACCATTTTTGAGTTAAATGGGGAAGTTCTGTTAGTAACATAGTTGACAGAACTTTTGCGGACATTCATATATTAAGATATTTAAATTATTTAAAGGAGGAAATCAATTAAAAATATGTTATTATTCTTTAGTATTTAGACTTTTGAAATAAATGAATACTTTTTTTTATTTACTTTAATGGTTTTTATTCATTATTTTGAAACCAAGACACCCTCAACTGAAAAACGGACAGAGCAAAAACTGACAATTTAAGAACATCATGACACATTTCAAGGTAAATAAAGCATAGGATGCACATAATGTTTGTGTGATATTATAACATGCTTTCCAATAATAGGCAAAATATGATATTTTTGAAGAAAATAGTTGGAATAATTATAATTATCATCAATGGACATCAATGGACATGGAATGTACCCTAAATTGTAGAATCACTCATTATAGCAAACCATGATTTGATTTCTCATCAAACAGTAGTAGTTTATTACAGGTAAAAATAACTTACTCTTCTATAACAACAGTTGTAGGTACAGTTCGGTTAGTTAGTGTATAAAATATACGGCTGTACCGAGGCCATTATAAGACTGTTGTTCCGCTGAGAGCGAGCCGAAAAAAAGCACTGTTAGACATGGGCGGAGCCTCTCTGGTGGTTGACTAATCAGAACAGAGTGGCCGAGCTGACCAATCGGAGCACACTAGGCTCACAGGGAGGGGGGGGCAAGAGCTCCAACGAGCCGTTTAGTGGAGAGAGTGAATACTGCTGAATACACATACTTTACAGAGATGCTGTATGCGAAACCAATGTGAGTTTGGAAAATTGCACAGTATAAATCTATTTTAGTATACCTCAACAATGTAATTATGATCAGTGGAAATGGCCATGACACCTCTCCTTTAAGTGCTTTGACAAAAAATACATTTCATCTGTGGAAGTAATACTGTAAAAAGCACGACCAATCATTTTAGCCGGCCCGGCTAAAATAACTGGATGGCCTACCTGCCTGTCAGCCTTCCATCTGTGCACAAACTTATCTTGTGCCCTCATTGGTCATGTGCGCGTTCGTGTGTGTTGGAGGAGGGGCTCTATAAGGAAGTGGCAGATTTTCTCCGGTTGTGGCTGCGTTTCACTTCTCTTATTTTTCATTTCCTCGCTCCTCGGTCTCGGTATCACCGGAAGTTGATTTGTCTGCGCCATCTTGAGTAGCGTCCCACTCATGGATGTATAATAAGAACTGGATACAGCGTGGGAGGCGAGGCCTCATTCATTGCTATGAGAGTTGCTCATTCGCGCATGATGATAAAATGGCCCAACTTTTGAGAGAGCGAAACGTCACAGATTACCCGGCATGCCTGAGAAGTACCCGTATGTGCGCTCATAGCGCATGCGCAACTTTAACCATGCCCCCCAAAATGCTCGTTCACATCAAGCACGTCAATTTGCGTACACGTACAGTAACAGCACCGCACGTTCATGACAGCATGGTAATGGTTTGTTATTATGATAGATTTGATATTAACGAGGCGGCAGTTAGCAGCTAGCGGTTAGCTAGTAATTATGCTAATTTACACATCAATCGTTATGTACTTTTATATTACGCTGTAACAGGATCTAGTGATATCCAAGCAACAGAGCTTCATTTAGCATGAAATAATTATTGCACTGTGTACACATATATATATATACAGTGCAATAAGCTTCTTAGTGCAATAAGAAGCTACAGGGACGTTAATCTACGTCGGTAATATTAACTTTATTTAATACAACATTTACGGTACAAGATTTAATCATACAGCCCATGTAGTATAATATTTTACAAATGATGAATTACAGCAAACATGTGCAATATATCCATTAGTACAGCTCCGTGGGCTGGCAGTAAGGCGATATGGGTCCGTTCTTATTGTGCATCCATGGGTAAAGATAAACGCATGTAGTGCTGAACACGTAACATGAACGTGCCGGGTGGCGCGGTCCCGTGGGTTAGATGCGCGTTCATAATGCAGAGGGAAATAACTCACAGAATAACGTTATTAGCACATTTTTACAACTTGAGGAACGAATGTTTTTAATAAGGGCTATACAAGTGTTCATACTGGGTAGTTTATTTAGTTTAAAAAAAATTATCCAACGATTTACAGACCACTCTTTCCCCATGTAAGTCAATGGGAAAAAGTGTTTCCGGGCCTGGCAACCAAAAGGAAGTGTAGTACCGCTGTTTGGCCAGCACGAATATT